CATTAAATTTTTAGTTTTTTATAAATACCTTGAAGAAAATAAAATCACTTTCAAAAGCTGATTGACGCTTATCATATTAACTTATTGTTAGGTCATTATTTACATATTGAAATGTTGACGGATTTTCGTTTATTTTCCGATCATGAAAAAGGAGCACACGGCGGGTGTGACAGGTCGGCAGTGGTATGCTTTCTGCTCCATGACACCTGATGTTTTAGTGGTTTAGTGTTTGCTCTGCTCCTGATTTGTATTAGTTAATTAGTAGCATGCTGTTCGTTATTTCCATATATATCGTCTATTTGAAAAATTTCAGAAATAAACTTCTTGTTCCATGTCTTTCAAAATAATTGATTTTTCAATTGTTCTTTTAAGGACCTGGAATAGCCTTCATTGTGTACCCCTGAGGCTGTCTCCAAGCTCCCTCTGCCTCAGTTCGTGGGCAGTTCTTTTCTTTTATCATGCTTTTCACAGTCGGGACTTGATAGTCAGGTAAGAAAATATACTGATACACTTCTTAAAATTATAATAAATGTAAACATACTTTTATGTAAGTTGTTCTGTACTTTTTTCAAGCAAGAATTGTTTTGTAGCCATATTTTGCAATACATTGTTTCTGAAACGCAAATAAGATAACCGACGAAACATTATCAGCAACTTTATTATAAGCTAACAAAAAATTACATTTCTTACAAACCAAATTGACAATCAACGCCATTTTCCATGGTATCAGTCGTTTGGCAAAACTTCCACTGAGGAAAGCAGACTAGAATATTTTGTTAACTGTTACTAGGTATAATTTTATTGTCATCTTATTTTCATTTTAGATGGTACACATTCAAACTTTGACAGGTGCTCTACATGACAATTTTCCTAAAGCTTTAAACAAGTGGAAGACTTCATTAACAGGCATACTCTGTTTTATTGGGTTTTTGCTTGGGATCCCATGTATAACGCAGGTATATATACATGTACATAAATGACCATAAGGATATACATTAGCTTTTGGGAATGGTCAGTGGATGTCATATTTTATGTTATATCTGATTTTTTTTTTTACTTTTTTCATAATATAAAACCTGATTAGTAATTAATTTACAAAGGATCAATTCGAAAGAAATGAATTTTTTACAAGATCCTCATTATTTTATTCTGCAATCATGCCCCTTGGTGTTGAACTACGGTCACTTAAATTAAGCAAATATTATACTCTTGCAACGCTTCTATTAACCTAAAATGTATCTGACCTTGCTTTTTTTTAATAACAAATTGTTACTGTTTACATTGATTCCTTTAGGGTGGTATCTATGTCCTAACCCTTATTGACTGGTACTGTGCCAGTGTGTCTGTAATGCTGTTGACACTTCTAGAAGTGACGTCATTGGCCTGGCTCTATGGTAAGGGATTTCCTGTTATTTTTACTTCTTTTGCTATTTATATTAATTAAAACAAAAAAATTAACGAATACTAGTATATTTTTTAGGTTATTGAAGTAAATGTGCAATATTTTCTTGTATGAGACAAATGCAAGAACACTCTTAGCACGTTTCGTTTTCTGTTATTCTTTGTTATTCAGATCTAGGATGAAAGTGAGGTTTCCTTTTTGAACATTTTCTGTGAGCTTTTCATTTGTCTGCATGACTATTACAATTTCTTCGAAGCACTGGAAAAATACCGAAACAATTTTTTTTCAAATCGCATGCTGTTTTTGTCAGTCGTGCTAATAGGATGATTTGCATCAAAGAATAATTTATAAAAGTTTAAAATGTTGTACCTTATATGTTGTTTTTTCAAGAGATAATTTTCCTTTTATAATTTGATGTCTTCATTGATAAAAAGATTTTTTTTTTAAGGCGTGGAAAGAATTTACAAAGATTTGGAAATGATGATCGGGTATAAACCAACGCCTTTATGGAAGATTATGTGGCTATTTGTAACTCCATTGGTGATATTGGTTAGTTTTTCTTCGTAACGAGACAGTCCTTACGATTCAACATTAAAAGCAGTCGGATATGTATATATATTGTTCCTGTAATTCTACTTTTAAATACCATACAACATACATGTACCAAGCAATAATGTGCAATTCTGAATGATTTTGTCCATTTCTTACAATCATTTGTTGAATTGCTTTGTTGTAGATTATCTGGATTGTCAGCTTAATTCGTTATTCGCCAGTAGAGTACGGTGATTATAAGTACCCATCATACGCCGTGGGAATAGGGTGGCTGATAGCTATCTTATCGTTAGTGTCAATACCGGTAGGAATGGTAACAACACTCTTAAACACGAGGGACAACTCTACACCTCTTCTGCAAGTAAGTCAAGCAACCGTTTTACCACCGTCATGGAATAAACTAATCTTTCTGTATGCATTTCATAGCTGCTTTTAAGCAAAATATTTTTAGATTAAAAATATTGAAAAAATTTCTCTTAGACTATTGCAATTGTATTTCAAAGGCGAGATCATAAAAATATCTCAACCTCGTACATTGACAGAGATTGAGACTTTCCTTACAACCTACAAAGGACTGGAAACCGGCGATACAGACTCTACCTGGTGATGTCGAGATGAGAAAAATGCTTGTTTAAAATTCTATTTTAATACAAGTACATGTATATGTTTCAGCATTATACAATTAACGAACAAGTATCTATGTTATGAGACTTACGTATAAAATATTAATTTCATGTTTTTTTAGTTAAGGTACATATATGTTAAATACCCAGTACATTATTCTGTAATAAAAAATAAAGCATATCTTTCTTGTGAATTAAAAAGCAAAAAACATATAAAAATACTTTATTCAATAAATAACCATGGTGAAAAACTGATATTGTGGTAACAATTTATTAACTAAAGTGTTTTCCCAACAACACGTACGCGGAGTACACGTTTGTATCTCTACCAGTGCGTGCAGTGCGCGTGCACAAATACTGAAGTGAACAAATTTAATTAATACATGTAAAGCACCATACAGTAACTAAGATTTCTTTAACAAACATTCAACAAATTGGTCCACTGCATCCATTTAACAATCTTATGCATATTTTTTTCAATAAAATTAATAAATTTACTTATAATCACACGTATATATTCCCTAAATTAAAAATAATAAAACAAATCTCATGGTATCGATTAAAAATATCTTGTACCTAGCTTACATACATGTATCACATTTTCAAACACAGCCAAACAATATCAAAATCTGACTAGCATTTACGATAAAGTTAAATAATTCTAATAAAACAAAACAGTATATTATGTCCTTGCACTGAATCCTTTTGAAAAATGGATATTCCACAGACATTTTATGATACAATTTTTTTACTTGATACTCCTGGTACTCCAGTGCTATATTTTTTTCAAAACCTCTATCATCTTTAATCATATCTTTGAATGAAAAAACTATTACGATTTTGTTTATACTTGAAATACCAAATAAGATAAACTTTGCAATAATATCACAGTATTTGCAATATATAAAAATACTGATGTAAACATATTTTCAAATCGTGAAATTGAAGTTGTCCTTTTATTGAATTCTTTGCATAGAATTTTTTCAATTATATTGAAAGATTAAAAATACACAGAAACTTTGACTGTCGTTAAGACTGTTCTGTTTGGACAATGACTCTATTAGACACTTGACATTCGCCCCTTTGATTACACCCTAGAATCAGAAATTCATACTCCGTGCTGGCCTGTAAACCGAATACCCTGTGGTCTTGCCTTCCATACAAGGAGAGTGTTCGCCAAGCTCTGCTCTGACCCCGAGGGCGATACAACAGGAAGTGAGAGATGTGCTGCTCAGCGGCGATGTCCTGGGGGCTAGAACTGTAAATCTGTACAGACGTGGCGAACTGCCGACAAAGGCTTTCAACAATCACAGGAGCTAAATTAAGAAAGATCATCAAGTTAGTATCATTCATTTAATTCAATATTGAATCGTTATTTCTCACCGAGTCGCAAAATGATTTTTATAAAAGTTTCCCGCTTTTATCCTATCAAAACGTTGCATAATTTAAATTAATTTAAATGAAGATTTATAAACAAACCTGGAATGACACTTTCTCCTGGCAGTAATGTGGTACACTGAACAACCTCCGAGTTAGCACTTCTTCCTGCCTGGTTGCTAGCACTTACACAAAAATAGTAGGTTGTTGCTTTGCAAAGATTTTCAACTAATACCACAACCACTCCTGAACAGTTTGGAACATTTTTCGCAGCAAGTCTGTCCTCTGGGACATTTTTGACAATCAATGTATCCTGAAAATGTAACATGCTAATTTTCAGCTTGAATTTAATATGCTTTTTTTTTCATCTAAATTGGAAGAATCCTTTCAAAATTGTTATAGTTTGCAGACGGAATTTTATTTAATTCTTTATTGCTATAAAATCTTGAATCTGTTTCAGGAATTATATGATTTACACTATATATGCGAACCTTGTCATGATATTTGTATAAAATATTTGGAAAATACAACTCCAGACAAAGACCATTTTTGAATTAGATACAACTTTTTTGTTTATAATAATTGTATTTTTTTACTACCTGGTAAAGATTAAAACACTGAGCTATATCATCAATTCAGATCATATTTTGTCATGTTAATTAGATCCGTGACTGCATACCTCGATTTCAAGACTCTTTTGTTCCTCCGAGCAATAATGAATTTGGTATTCGTCTATGACGTCATGTGAGTGTCTGGGAGGGGAGAGCACTAGTACGACTGTGTCCTCGCTTCTGGAGCACCGCGTGACGTCAACGCTTGGTGTAACAGGAGCTAAAAAAGAATGCTTCGTGTTGAAATCGGAGAAATGACTCGGTTAGATCAAGAGATCGAGGGTAGGATTTGCAAAGTGTTTTTGCAGATTAGCATGAACACATGTGTTATATTAAGAATAAGGATGATCAAAAATAATACCAAGTAAGTAATTCATGTCTCTTATGATATTTCTTTCCTTTCTGAAATCTACAAGTTTTCCCGGCAAGACGTCACAGTCTGAAGGTTGAAATTGTGCGGTTTCACAGTCAATTGTGGCCTTCACCAGTCTGCAATTTTAAACGATCAAATAGAAGAAAAAAAAATACCGATCACAAATGCCCATTAATTTTTTTCAGTCATATTGCATAGTTTAAAAATCAGTTGAAATCTATCAGAGAGGTTCTGGCCTTTGATCACGAACGTTTAACTAGATCTAGAATCTTTAATACTTACTTTTCACTTAATGTATTTGCCACCTGGAATAAAAAAATAATTTAATGCGAGTTAAATTTCATTGTCTACATGCTTTACATATTTATGTTTGACATGTATAACTAGGTAAACAGATGTGTAACCTGATTCTGTTTGTCCCTCAAACACTTGTAATCCTGAGAATGTTGACATTACAGATTTTATTACCACACTCAAATGATCTTGTTTCTTTTTAATTTCTCTTGAGAACAGAATGGTGACCCAAAGGATCGAGGACGATGTGCATATTTTGATTGAGTTTTAGAAAAGGAAAAATGCAAGCTGTACTTTGCTGTGTGAAAAATTACCACGGTAATTAAAAGAAGACCGAGAAATAATGAGTGACACAAAATTCATTACAAACAATAGGTAAACTGCATTATATCATAGAATTTGCATAGAATATTAGATTTTCTAAGTTAATATGAAGTTACTATTCATTTTGACACCGGAATATAGTTAATTTGAACACCAGATTACAGTTAATAAAAAACTAGAGGTATAATGAGCACTGGGCTCACAAAAATGATAACCCAGTTCTCCCATATGAAGATAATAGCAATGTGTATGTTTTGTTATGAATACCCGAGAAAGTGTCGGATCAAAAAGTAAAATAGGAGTTGCACAATAGCATTATGTTGATAAATACTCAGTTGCAATTCTCATAAATTTCATTCAGTTATATAAGAGGAGTTGTAGATAAGAAATTGGTTTCCAAGTCTTTTCGAGGGTCATGAAATAATGAATTTTTTCAGACCACCTGATGTATTACATTTATATACGTACCTCTAGAAACTCACTGACATCCTCGTTTAGCACCTCCGATGTGTAACTATACAACGCCTGTGAAGATCCTAAGATCCGCTCCATTACTTTTATCAGTTCTTCTTGCTCATTTTGACGAATGCGTTCCTCGTACTCTAGATCCGCCAGGAAGAAATTTCTCTTATTTTCAATTTCAGCTAAGAGCATGTCACACTGTGCGTTGATTTCGCCCCGCTTTCTGTCTATCTTTTGCTGAAATAATTTGACAACAACATGCAGTTTTGAAAATAAACTCTAGTTATTATTTTAAAAGAGTCCAAAGAATTTTGTTAATCTTGAAATTATGCTCTTTTGGAATACTCTTACCTGCATTTCTTTTAAATTATCTCTCTGATTCTGTAGAGCCGTTGTCACTTTATCCTGACTGCTGCCTAATTTTTGAAGATTTTTATCAATTGAAGCCTAAAATGAAAAAAAGTTATCCTCTGACACAATTCTTTTCATTGTCATAATAAAGTTAATAATGTTGTATATACTTTAAAAGGGTAGCAACAAACCTTTATGTCTGTATATGCGTCTTCTATAGTGATCATGAAGTGACCTTTGTGAAGATTGGAATCTTTGCAGGCCATGCAGGTTGGAACGCAACATTCTTTGCAATACAAGGAAAGTTGGTCTGCGTGAGTTGTGCACATACCATTCACAGACCGATTAAGATCATCTCGAGGGGATACCAACTCGTGGGTATTGAAAGGATCCTTCTTCTGGTGAGTCAGGAGAAGGCAATTGGAACAGTAAGACACGTTACAATCTAGGCAAGACTTTTTAGCTTTTTTCTTTGCTATATTACAAAGTTGGCATAGCACTGACAGTTCGGTCCCTGTGTCAGATTGACTAGAAACGGAAACATCTAGAAGTGAGGCATCGTGGGTTTTTTCTTGTTGATTGATGTTTTCTTTCGAGCTTCTGTCCGCTTTGTAGCGTTCTATGATATTTTCTAGAGCAATTACTCTAGGCAAACTAGAGATCCCGCCACTCACGTAACAATTATCTCGACAAACGGGACATCGTATAAAGTTGAAATCAAACAAATGTTCTGCGCAAGGAGATCTGCAGAGCACGTGGGAGCATGGAAGAATTATGGGATAGGAAAATAGTTCCAAGCAGATTGGACACTGTAGATCGCTGTCCACCTCCATCTTGGGTTTCACTGGACACTTTGATGGGGCCACACGGACGTGCTCAAAAGCGTGGTTCCCGTTGGTTGCAACGACGTTAACTGGACTAAATACAAATCCTTCCCCAAAGTCCTGAAAGTAAGATATAGATGCTGTTACGATTCATTGAGAAATTTCCCTTCTAAGTTACCTTCAACCTTATGAGTATGGAAGAAAATCCTTCAAATCAGAAACCTAGATAAATATATTATTTGGTTTCGGGAAAGGCTTAAAACAAATTCCATATCCGATATTAAATGGAAGTTATTATGAATGTGTTTCGTCAACAAATCCGCCATACAGATGCCTAATGAAGCCTCCATTTATTAGATGAATTACTCATCCCACATGACAAGGTACACAATGCATCTAGAGTAATGTTTTCCTGAATGTAAACACAGATCCATTAAGGAACAAACTTTCCGCATATTGATCAAAAATGGGTATGTCTTAATCCGCCATTTCATCTACCTATTAAGATTATTAAGGAGAATTCAAATTTACCTTCTGAATATCAACGTGTAATTTGGCGGCATCTTGAATTCATGTTTGTGCAGCAATCACCAATGCATGACAAAACTAAGATCAATAATTAAATAAACTTTTCTTTGCGAGAGTCCCAGAAAATTAAAACCAGACACGATGATAGCACTTTTTCCCTGTACAGGATGCTAGTTGTATGCTTAGTGTTACAATGAATCCAAAACAGTTCTTCCTATATTTGTTTCCAAGTTGCACATGAACAAACTTTGATAAGGTTGAAAAATTTCAGCGATTGCTTTACTTTTAAAACACACTCTCCTGTAAATAATCAATAAATATACCGACACCAAAGTTTGAATGCATGGACAGGGTTAATTTTCAGGACCTATTTTTAAGACTGAATTGGTAGAGGGAATTCCACATTACAATCGTAGCTCCGTGTATTCTTGCCTATCAATCGCTATTTTAGCCACACGTATTAGTAAGTTTGTATGAATGTCGTTTGGAACGGTAAGACTTTAATCTCGTGTAAAAAGAGATTTTTCTAAAGGCAGTATGGATTAATCTTATTACGACGACAAAACTGTTTCTAAACATTTTTATTCTTTTTCGACACCCTTGTGTAGCAAAAGTTTAAATAGCATACATTTTCTTTTCATGTATGTGCAACGTTTGCTTTATCGTTCATTCACGGTCTACAAATAAAAATGACTTCAGACCTCCTTTAATCGTAATATTTATAACTTCTGGAGAGTGCTTATGTAATTCATGGTAAAAGTAATCAATTTTACTACCAATTTTTATCATTTTATTGTCCTTCAATGTGTGTTTGACAATTACAAAACATAGTTTATAATCAAAATTATTCTTAAAATGTAGGTGTTGCATGCTCATAGGAATTTAAAAATGGAAATGTTAGATGAACCTTTTTTAAAAGTTAAATTAAAAATATTTAGCTTTTCAATATTATTATACTTGAGTTTAAGGTTACTTCCAGGACTTGCTTATCTAATGATGCCTGAAACATAACTGATTGCGCCCATGACAAAAGGGTCCTTATGGCATTTCTACTAAAACAGAGAAATAACGTCATAAAGATGTGACGTTGCAGAATGACGGTGAACTTCGACGCAGATTTTTTTTTTAAACCCAAATGTTTTGACGTTTGACGCATCCAGAGTTTTTATCGCTGTTTCAAACACGTGGAATTTATTTTCATTTACAAATTAATTTAATCAATATCTGAATCTCCTAATCCATTGATTTTTAAAAGATGTAAATAAAAACATTTAGAACTGGTTTCTTAACAAACATTATTAAATACTCTAATTAAAGTTTTCCTACATGCGTAAAAGTATAGAAGCTGTAGACAAGGTGTTTTCTGATAGGATAATGGACCTTTATACTCTAGATA